AACATTGCTTTCCCTCAGCAAGTTATGTCAAACAAGACATCCTAACATAAAACAACCAACAAGGTGACAACATTGCTTTCCTTCAGCAATTTATGTCAAATAGGCACGAAGTCACATCATCGCCATGTGCTAGTCCATAGCTCTTATTCATCGACGGTATTTCCCACGGGAGTTCCCCCACCCCACCCCCCGCAATACATGTCAATGGGTTTTCCATATACTAAGTCCATAGGTCTTATTTATCGACGGTATTTCCCACGGGAGTTCCCCCCCCCCCCCCCCCCCCCCCCCCCCCCCCCCCCCCCCGCAATACATGTCAATGGGTTTTCCATACAGCTGATGAACATACTTAAGGGGTTTCCCCAGCCTTACATGCCCTAAAGGCACTCATGAGGGGAATAGAGTACAACGAATGAACACTTAAGTCCATTAACACCTACAGGTTACGAGCCTGCTAGTGTTCCACAGACCGTCAAAACAGTCCATGGTTGTCATCCATACTCTGCTGAATGACGGGGGTTTTAGAGTACAGCGAATGAACACTCAAGTCCATTAACACCTACAGGTTGCGAGCCTGCTAGTGTTCCGCAGACCGTCTAGAACAGTCCATGGTTGTCATCCCTACTCTGCTGAATGACGGGGGTCAACGTTGGGTAAGGGCTTTTCTCATATTGCACCACTCACGCCAACATCTGGGTAAAAGCTTTTCCCATATTTCACTACTCACTCTCAACTCATGATCTATATCACTGATCATCTCATCTATCCAACTCACCTTTGATCACACACCCACTATTTAACTCATGATCTATATCACTAACTCATGAAGCTTGTCCAATCACTTCATAAAAGAACAAAGACTCCAAAGCTCTTCCAAATAAAAGTATAGGGAAAATATTGATATAGTACTCCCGTACGCTCCCGTACCCCGACACGTAATAGTGTCAAAAGGAAGAACTAATGGATGAACACATAGTTCAAAAAATATCTAATGAACATATAGTTCAAACATACGTACCGATTACAAGTCTACTAACGTTCCACTGGGCTATCTAAAATAGTCTATGGCCGTTGTCTATACTCTGCTTAAACATCAATACCTCTTATCACTTTTATTTCATCACACATCATCTAATTCATCTACTCATGTTTTACCCAACATATTTGTAGATAAAAATATATATACAGTTTAAAACTTGTATAAAACATCAATTTAACAGTCACCTCAAATAAACAATTAATATATTTACACATAGCACATATTTTAAGGTAAATACTTCATATCTATGTGTAAGGTGAAAGTGACTATACACTCACCTGATTTAATGAAAATCGGGCAGCAATTCGTTTCCTAAAACGATCGTTTCTAATAAAACCGGGAGTTTTATTGAGAAACCGGGCTCTGCGAAAGGTCGGGCTTCAAAACCGAAAAGATAAATTTTCCGGGCCTTCGGGCACTCCGGGACGTGTTCCGGGCGTTGGAAATGATCTCGGGGCATCGGGGGAGGTCAAAATGCTAAAAATATGAGTTTAGAGGTGAAAAAGGGCAAAATCCCAAAATTGCCCGGGAAGTCTCGCAATCCTCTATTTATAGGGGGAAGCTTCTGATCGGACGGCTGAGAAGCCTCCAGGTGGCAAAGATCCGAAGCTCACAGGACATAGGCTCGCATGTGGCTGCGCATGCGAGGCCCTCGCTGGCATGATCTGATTGGACCGAAGTCCGGGTCCGATGAGGGAAGCTCGTGGCTTCTGCGAGGGTTCAGACACAAGGAAAAGAGGGCACGCGTCGGATGACTCAGCAACATTCCGGACAGATGGCACATGCGAGGCGAAGACACGTGGCCGAAGTCCACGTGTGCGAAAATTCCCGGTTTTGGCATTATTCCTCGATTTTCGCGCCAAAACTTCTAAAATCCATAACTTTCGCATACGAGCTTCGTTTTTGACGTTCTTTATATGCACGCGTAGGTAAAATTACGCTCTACAACTTTCGTTTAGACTTTGTCGGCTGATTTTGACTTTAATTTTTATATTATTATTTTTAACAGACCGGGACAGGAAATCCGTTAAAAATTCATAACTTCTTCATCCGACGTCCGTTTTCGTCAGACTTTTTACCGTTGAGCTACTAATGACGAGACCTTCGATTCTCGTTTAGGTCGTGTCGGCTAAAAATCACTCGATCTAAAATTCGAGTTTTTAGCTGTCTATTACTAAGCTGAAACTTCGAAAAATCATAACTTCGTCATACGAAGTCAGATTTGGGCGTTCTTTTTATACTTACTCTCGGTTTAACAAACTCTACGAGTTTTGTTTAGATCACTAAGGCCAAAAAGTAGTTTATCGAAAACTCACTTTTTACGACATTCGGCCCCGTGCCGGTTTTGTCGCGAAACTTCGACAGGTCATAACTTCTTCGTTATAACTCGGATTTCGGCATTCTTTATATATCCGTAATCCTTGTCACGCCCACTACAAGTTTCTTAATAGATATCGGCTTTATCTAAAATTTAATTTTTGACGCTCATTTTTATTCTTAATTAATTAAACCCTAATAATTAAGCATAAAACACATAATTCACATAATATTCACATAATTAATTTTCATTTCTTCTAAATGAGTTACAAAGGTTAACCTAGACCATTATGTCAATATTAATGTCTAGCCTAGAAACACGGGCATTACAGGTGCAAACCCTAATTTAGGTTCTTGGACCCTATTTAATGGTCTTAACTCATCTTCAAACCCTTTTATCTTCAGCCTCCATTAAACCCTAAATACAAAACCCTAGCTTGTTCTTGAGTGTTCTTAAGCTTTGGTGGTTAACCTTTGGTGTTTTTGCTCACTTTGAGGAAGAAGGAGCTTGGTGTTCAAGCATTGGTTGGGGTGGAGCACATAGATCCAGCGTCTTCATCCATTTTGCTACCATTTGAAGGTATAAAGTTTCTATCTTGGTAACTTTATATGTTAGATCTAGTCTAAGGATTGTTTTGGGTTTATTATGGTCCCTAGAGTCATCCTTGTGAGTATGAGCTACTCCAAGAGCTTAGAATGTTGGATCTTAGCCTTTCGGAAGTTGTTAGTACATAAAAATGTCATCTTGATGGGTTTGGATGAACTATGTGAGACTTGGTGTTCATATTATGGATTTAGTTGAATTGAAACGGTTTTGGGTCCCATTAAGACATACAAAGGGTAAAGTCGCCAACTTTACGTGTTAAGACCTTAAAATGAAGTTAGATTTGAAGTTTGGACGTTTGGTCTTAAGTATTAAGTGCTTAATGAGTGATTTTGGTCACCTGGTGAGTACGTTGGGCGTACGTATGAGTACCCTCAACTAATGCATGAAGTCTCCGATTTCAAGCTTAGGCAAGTTGTACTTTGTGCTTCATTGGGCTGTACGTAGGGCGTACAAGTTTGGTACGCAGGGTGTACGCTACATGGGCTTTTCTTGATTTTGGGCCAACTTTTGGACTCTAGGGTTTTGGGCTTTTGTTGGGCCACAAGTATTGCTAAGTTGGGTCATTGTTAGGCGTTGGGCCTTTATGGAATTGGGCCCATATTGGACCTTAAGTGTCTTGTGGATTTGGTCCAATTGAGGGGGAAGGTTAAATTAGTCTTTTACCCTAGGAGTCGGGATTAGTGAGTTAAGTCCCGATTATGGTTATGACATGATTATTGATTAAGGTTGTAATTGTTTGGTTAGCGCGGGGATTCTCCGGTCCAGTAGCCCCAACATTAGCTGGTTTGTTAGCGGACTGAGGTGAATCTCCTCACTATATCCATGGGTCGAAGGCACCAATGTCGGCCCATTACTTTGTTATGTAGAATGCTAGTTGTCTGTGTGATACTTGCATGAAAGACCATGATCTGGCCCCTGGCAATTGTATGAAAGACCATGATCTGGCCCTTGACACTTGTATGTAAGACCGGGATTTGGCCCTCGGCATTGCTAGGAAAGACCATGATTTGGTCCATGACAGGAAATGATTGTAAGACTATGATTTGGCCCATAACATTCACTTTCTTATATATGGTATGCAGTATTTTGGGGAGCTCATTAAGCTTTATGCTTACGGTTTATGTTTAAAATGTTTTCAGGTACTTCCGGTTCGAGAGGGAAGGATCCGGCTTGATCGCAGCGCATCCACCTATATTTCCGCACTTTATGATTTTGGAATTGTACTCTGATAACTATTTTTACTCTGATATATACTTTGGAATTATTGAATTGATTAAATAGTGTTTATGGTTGAATTAAAAATGAAATTTTTACCTTATAATTTTTGTGACGTTACAGGTGGGGATAACGTTTAGGGTTTTTCATGTTTTTAAGATTTGAGTTAATGACTCTTTCATAAAAAAATAAAATAAAATAAAATAAAATAAAAAGATTTGAGTTAATGATTGGGTTTTTGATATTTTTTATAGAGTTAATGACTGGACCACTCCTCGCCTGTTCTATGTTCCACCACTGATGGACACCGGATCGGTCCCAAAAAAATCAAACTGTTTCGAGACCAACCTGAGACCGGTCCGGAACCGCCAATGTGGATCATTAATCTCAACTAGTATTTCCGCATACTCAATTGACACAAAACTCAACACCGATTATTACACCCCAAATAATTATTGTTTCTTTGCATTTGGGTTTATCATTTTCCAACAACAAATCAAGATTAATAAAGAAACAAACTTACAAAAATTTGTCATTATCGAAAACCACAGTGTTGAAGGTGAAATTCACACTGATTCTAGTGTTAGCTCCCCAAGTTCTACATCGAACATTCAAACTCCAAGTTGAAGATTTGAAACGTGTAGAATCGTATTACTCAGAAAAACAGAAAACTAAGAAATAAAGAGACCTCAAAAACATCAAAAAATCAAAACCCAAAACTCACTAACAGTGTTCATTATTGATGTAAAATGGTTTGTATTGCATATTTTACAACAATGAATGATGAAACAGAGCAAAAAAAAAAAATACTAATCACTTCTGTCATTGAACATAAAGATCATTCCAACATCTATCAATAGCAGCTCGAATCCTCTTCGGTTTACAAACATCTTGAATAACAATTTCCCATGTCGATTCTTTTGGCAAAAAATATTTTCCAATCATCACTTCAATAATCTTCGTGGCCCCCACAACCCTCTTTTTCTTATGAAGCCTAACCACAAGTTCTTCAAGAAACTCACTCCCATCTTCAACATTATCCATCCCATCTTTTAACATTTTCAAGAATATGTTACAAGTAACCAAATCCGGATCACACCCTTGATCAATCATACAATTTAGCAAATCAATAGCACGTGAAACAAAACCATTCTTACACAAACAATCAAAAAGAATGTTGTAAGTCACTACATCTGGTTGAATCCCAGACCCTTCACAAATCATCTCATTAAAAAGTTTCAAACTTTCTTCAAGACACTTATTGTTACATAGTCCATGAATCAGAGAAGTGTAAAGAACAACATCAGGTTTATACCCTTTTGACAACATATTCTCCCAAAATGTTGTAGCTTCTTTCACCTTCCCATTGTTACATAGTCCATGAATGATTACACTACAACAAACTTCATTTTGACCACAATCTTGACTTTCAGCCTCTTTCCAAATCTCAAGAGCTTTATCAGTGTCACCTTTTTTGAAAAAACCCTTCATCAAGGAGCTGTATATGAATGCATTCGCCTCACAACCTATTTTTTTCATTTCCTCAAGAACATCCATAGCTTCATCTGGTTTCATTTCTCTACATAAACCATCTATCAGAGTACTGTAAACCACAGTATTTGGTTTGCACCCTTTATTTATCATCTGTTTCCATAAATTCATCGCCTTTTCGGGTTTTCCCTCTTTGAATAAACCACTTATAAGTGTTGAATAAACATAATGATTTGCAGGAAGTCCTCTTTCTTCAAGAGAGATTGACATAGATGCAGCATCACTAGCTCTTCCTTGCTTCACTAACCCATTGATGATTGTAGAGCATGTAATATCATTAGGGACACATTTAGCCTTAACCATTCTGTCCAAAAGAGTAACAGCTTTGTCTAATTTACCCTTTAAGCAGAGACCATGTATAAGGGTGTTGTAGGTTACTTCATTTGGGACACACCCTTTGAGAAACATGTTATCTACAACCTTAGAAGCACGTGATAAGTCACCTTTCTTGCACAAACCATTAATCAAGACATTGAAGGTTGCAGCATTTGGGAAGCAACCTTCGACTTGCATTTCATCCAAGAGACACACAGCTTCGTTGATTCTATCTTCTTTGCATAATCCATCCATTAAAGTGCAATATGTAAACACATCTGGGGTGCATTTTTTAAGTGGCATCTCCCTGAAGGTCTGGATAGCTCTATCAATGAGGTCTAATCTACATAATACTTTAAGGATTAGATTGTATGTTAGCACGTTTGGTGAAACCCGTTTCTCGTGAAGAACAATGGAAGAATAAAACTCTAGAGCCTTATTGAACAAACCCTCTTGTATGACTACATTAATCACTGAGTTAAATGATCGAACACTTGGTCTGCATTGGTACTCGACCCACATTTTATCAAACAAGTCTATGGCTTTCATCGCTTTTTTTGCTTTCCCGTAAGCTTTGAATACTAATATAAAATTCTTCTCTATAAACACTCTTCTTTCACGCTTCATTTGGCTAAAAACCTTGTCCAACGATATGAAGTCTCCTGTTTTTGCGAAGTTTTCAATGAGGGTGTAAAATGTGGAATCACCCACTCTAAAGGAACCCAATTTCTGACCGGATTTGAAAATGTCTTCATGAATTGGTGGTTCAATCGCTGACTCCTGCTCGCTTTCGGGTGCTTTTCTTGAGTTGATAACTGAAAAGTATCGAATTTGGGAGAACCCTTTTGAACTCAGTCGTTTCCTGATTAAAGTAACGATAGTAACGCTGCTGGGCATGCCTTTATCAGCTGGGATTTTGAATAATTGTGCACGAAATACTGAGCATCTTCGTGCGAAACGAAATTTGATTCAACGCCTGATTGATTATGATCAGAGGTACAAACGAACCAGCGTATGAAACGGGGAAACGAGAAGCAACAAGGTATGGGCCTATGATCCGAGCTTATAGAAAGGGATTGATTTAAGAGAAATTAAATATTATCTTCCTCACGTTTAAAACTAGGCATGAGCAAACGGACCGACCCGGACCCGACCCAGGAACCGGCTTCGGCCAAAATCAAGAACCGAACCGGCCCGGCGGTTCTACTGGTTTCGGTTCCGGGTCCGGTTTTTGCCTGGTTTTTGATTTTGGAACCGGTTTGATTTGAAACGCTTTGTTGCGGGGCTTGTAACTCATTCAATTTTAACCAAATCAAGCGTTTTTATAGTGTAAACTTAACTACAAAACCTAAACTACGTGTAGGAAAAAGATTCAGGTAAAAAAAACTAAAATTGAGTGAGTTATACACATTTGAACAACAAAGTCAGATTACGTTTAATTGTTGTAACGTAAATTTTTTTTGATTTGACACCCTTCCTTGCGGGGCTTGTAACTCATTCAATTTTTAACAAAATCAAGCGTTTGTATAGTCTAAACTTAACTACAAATCCTAATATACATGTAGGAAAAAGATTCAGGTCAAAACAAGTTCAAGTGAGTGAGTTATGCACATTTGAACAACAAAGTCAGATTACATTTAATTGCTGAAACATAAAAAAAATTCTGATTTGACACCTTTTCTTGCGAGGCTTGTAACTCATTCAATTTTTAACCAAATCAAACGTTTTTATAGTCTAAACTTAACTACAAATCCTAATCTACATGTAGGAAAAAAATTCAGGTCAAAACAAGTTAAATTGAGTGAGTTATGCATATTTAAACAACAAAGTCAGATTACATTTAATTGCTGAAACATAAAAAAAATTCTGATTTGACACCCTTCCTTGCGGGGCTTGTAAGTCATTCAATTTGTAACAAAATCAAGCGTTTTTATAGTCTAAACTTAACTACAAATCATAATCTACATGTAGGAAAAAGATTCAGGTAAAAAAAAAGATAAATTGAGTGAGTTATGCAACTTACAAAATTTGAGTGAGTTATCCGGTCCGGTTCCCGGTTTTGGGCCGGTTCCAACGATCGGTTCTTACCGGGTCCCGGTTCCAAAAATTGACGAAATTATAGTATCGGTCCTGACCCGACCGGTTCCATCGGGTTCCGGTTTCAGTACCGGTTTCGGTTTCGGGACCGGTTCCGGCCGGTTCTCCGGTCCATATGTTCATCCCTATTTAAAACATACCATTTCACATATACTATTTCATATGAATAGAAATAAAAATAGAAATATATTTAATTTTTCTTGTTTTAAAAAGTTATAAATACTTATATGACATGTTTTATTAAAATTTGTAATTTTGATATAAAATATAGTGTTATAAATATTGAGACATCATAAAATTTTGTTTGTTTGATAGGTTTTGATTTAGTTAAAATCTAATTGAATTTGATACAACCTCTTATCAAACCAAATAAGATGCATATCAGAGATTATAAGATAGAATCGGGGGATTTTAATAGTATTATCAAATACTTTTAGAATCTGATTAAATTGGACTCAATCTCTTACTAAACCCAATAAAAAAATATCAAATAACACTTAAACTTATATTTAATAAAAAAATGCAGAATTGTAATTTACATATACAAGAAATACAATTCCGATCAAGTTTTTTTAGATGGTTTATGTCTTGTTAATGATCGAAACAACTTGATTTTTAACATCAAATCGAAGCATCGGTTTTTATATCTCTTTCATTAATAATGATAATTTTCTCTTTATAAAAATACATGGGTTGTGCGAAATGAGGAAAAGGACAAACAAAATATCGGGAGAAAAGTATAACTTTTATTAGGGTTTATTAATATTTAACCAAAATCATGCCTTGGATTTATATTTGTCTCTCAAAGTGATCTTGTTTTAATTTGTAATTATCCGATAAAAAAGTAATTGTTTTTTTGTTAAAAAAAATCTTGGTTTTAACTTGGAAATGTGTTGTAACTTGTAAGTTATCATCTATGTTGATGATTTTGGTTTCTTTGAAAATTATAAAATTGGAATAAATAGTTTTGCATATAACTGGAATCATCTTTCTTTGACATCAAATTTAACAAAAATAGAAAAAGAGATACTACTACTAAAAAGAACTAGATTATGACCCGCGTTAAACGTGGGGAACGCATAAAAAAAATTCATATAAAGTTATAAAAAGTCGGCACAATAAAAAAATAATATAAAGTAACATGAAAAATTAATATCATGAAAGTACTTCAATCGTATTTCCTTTAAAAAAAATTAAGGAGATTGTTTCGATAATCCTACCATTCATGTGCATCGGCATTGTAATTACTAACATTTATTTTAACCCATCGATTCTGAATGAAAACCCAAATACCCTACAAACGATATGTACCTATAGAAAAAATATCTCAATTTTCCATCAAACTTGATAAGCATCATGCACACGAGTTGAAATCATTAATAATAGAAGGTGCATATATCACTAAATATTATTCTGAATATACATCGAATCGCAAAATGTCATTGTTAGACAATAAAATGTAAACCACATACGATGGATGGGTGATCTTGTACATCATTACTTTTATTGCCCGAAGTGTACTACATTATTGATTTGATGAATTGAAGTGATCTGATAAGTCGAATTAACAATTAATAAGCAAAACAAGAGGTAATAGTCGTCTTTCAATGTGTGTCAAGTAAAAAAATTGATATTGTATACACAAAAAGAATGGAATCACTAACCTTGTGTATTTCTCGGTATCCTGATTCCGATGTTAGAGAGCCTTGATGTGTACAGTGAATAAAAGTAATCGTTAAGGAAGTCACATACAATATATATACAGAAGAAATTTAAAGACAATTTTCGAAATTATTACCCATATATTATAACTGTCAACAAAATCGTTTCTATACTTAATTTCAAATGATGCATAAATAGATTATATATTAATTACTATTAAATCAATCTAAAAGTGTAATAAGATCATACCAAAATATTTTAAAATCATACCAAAATTAATCGATTCTTATGACATCATTATTAAAAAAATCATAATCATCTCTAATATATAAAAATGACATTTTCATAATTAGTATCAATTCCAAAGATAGTTAATTTCTATTTTGTTAAAATTATTTTGTTAAAACTAATTAAAGTTATAATATAATATACATCTAATAACATCATACCAAAATTAATAAGGTTTTTACAATATTTTCATTAAAATAAAAAATTTATATCGTATTTAATTAGAATCTTAACAAATCTCTCGAAATATAATTAAATAGTATCTACAAAATAAAAGTTAAATCATTCGTTCATCTTTTTTAAATGTTAATAAAATATTAAATTAACCAACATATATTAAACGTAATTTCATCTTTATTATAACTAATTGTAATAACTAATCGTAATAATTAATCGTATTAACTAATCAATGTTTCGCAAAAAACTATTAATTTAAAAAGATAGATGTTTTATCATAATTGTTAGTTAAAACTAATATATACATTGTTATGATATTTTCAAATTCAATTTCTCAAGCATAAACTTTTCAGCATAATATTTTCAAAACATAATATGCAAGTTTAGATTGAAACTTTGTCAAATTACTAAAGTGTACCTCAATATGTTTTGTATTTTTAAACCTAAACGTTGCCAAATAGCTAAAAAGGCCTCTAATCATATTTTTATAATTTTAGATTAAAACATTTTGCTATTTCAGTTTAACAAAAATAATTACTTTAAGACCGAATCTCGCACAAACCAAAAAATAAAACTTTTTTGTTTTATAAAGACGTATACGCAAATAGCAAAGTACTTTGCTATAAATAAAAAAATGAAAAAAAAATTATAAACAATACTATGTATTGCCACTGTTGTGTGTCATTTCACCTTCTGTAAAGAGAAATACAAAACTATTAGAGATAACTATCAGACTAAGAAAAAATAGATATTATTTAAATAAAATCTTAGTTAAGTTGTTTTCTTAATAACTATTTTACTACTATTTGATAAGAAGATAAAATACAATTTTTATGGCCGTGAGATTCTATTGCTGTCAAGACACCGTGTAAAACAATAAATTCCAATATTCCATTATTGAAATTAGAAGAGAAACAGAAAGAATAATTATTCAAAGTAAAAGAAAAGACCTCACACTTTGGTTGTTAAGTTTGCATGCAAAAGTATCAAAGTGAATAATAAGTTTGCATGCAAAAGTATCAAAGTGAGTAACCCATGTTGTTAACAATATATATTTTAATTTATGCAGTTGGCAATGAACGGATTCATCGAGAACATTTAAAAATAGTTAGTTAACACATATAAGAGGTACCAACAAAGAGAAACACAACACATACACATGTTAATTTGAATTTGCATGATGCGGATTAGCTATTTTTGCTTGATTTATATCAGGTTTGAAAGATTAGAAAATTCATAGATGGATCTCATAACAAAACAAATGATTATACGAATTCTAAATGTTTATAAAAATCTGAATATATTCATGTACCTATGATTTTCTATATTTTACTTATATTGGGTCTGACCCTATCTATAAGAGTCAATATAAATGTGTGCAGATGCAGAAATTCGACACTTTGCTTTATATAGAGAAAACGAAGTTGTTCATATTCTTATGAACTTGTAAATCTTTTTATGCAGGTTTCTTTGAGAATAGTTACAAATAATTAGTTAACACATATAAGAGGTACCAACAAAGGGAAACACAACACACACTCACACACACATATGTTAAAAAAGCACACACAGAGAAGGACATACCTTGAAGATTCGTAATAAAACTGATGTTAAGGTTGATGTATTGTTTTGTTCAATTTATGTAGTGCATTGATATAAGAACATGCATGTGAAGGAGAAAATGAGAAATGTGAGAATTATTTATAATTTTCAAAACGCGGACAATGAGAAACAAAATCGTTTAAAATCTACTTTAAATTGTAGACAATATATTTATCTATTATTTAGTATTCCAAAGATTGGAATTAAATGATATTGGTGAAGATAATAAGGAATGAGAGCTGATTAACGATTTTCAAGAGATAACTGGAAACAGGAGGCGTGATTTTATATTAAATTCAAATAATTGTAAAAAATAGATGAATTATTTAATGAGATTTGATTAAATGATGGTTTTGAACTTTATAAGGGTCAACGATTTTGAATGATTTAAAAATATTATTTCCTTAACTAACAGTTTAATCATAAATGTCGGAATCCGAAAAAATAATTATTTCCTTAATCAATATTCTAAAAGGATTTAAAAAATTATATTAACATTTTGAGAATGACATCATCAAATTGATCAAAGGATGGAAAACTATAAAGAAAAATCAATCAATAGACATGATTGTCGAAGATAATGTAATCAGGTTTCTGTTTTAATATATATGTTTTAATATATATAAAGATAATATAAGAGTGACATACATAATGTTAATTATTTCAATTTTCAATTATAACTTCTAAAACGAAAATCGTTTTTGCTATCTTCCAACAAGATTCGAAAACCCATTATTTACAGTAAAAAGCTACAAAAATCTCTCACATTTCAAACTTCAAAGTGTGAAGAACTCCATCAATCTACACTTGAAAGTCAGACATGGAGAAGCATATCAACTACCTGTCTCATTGAGGGTCTTGCCTCTCTGTCTTCCTCAACACACTGTAATGCAATTTTAACAAGATTCTCCATCACAGTCTCATTAAATTGGTCCCTTATCCAAGGATCCACAATCTCATCAAACCCTTGAATCTTATCTCTCACCCTATCAATTAGGGCACGCTTAATCTCGTCATTTTCATTCATGCTTTTTGGACTTCTTCCTGTTATCATCTCCAATATCACCACCCCATAGCTAAACACATCAACTTTTGAGGTAATCGGAAGGTTTAAAACCCATTCAGGAGCCATATAACCTCGAGTCCCTCGCATCATGGAGAAGTTCCATTCGCTGATACCACTTCTTCTGTCCAACAATCTGGAAAGACCAAAATCTGCGACTTTAGGGTTGTAATTCGCATCCAACAATATGTTATGGGGTTTTACATCACAATGTAGAACCCATTCCAAGCATTCTTCATGTAAGTAAGCTAACCCTTTTGCAATACCTGTCGCTATATCAAACCTAGTCGCCCAATCAAGTTTATGACCAGAGCTTAAATTTTCAGCCAATGATCCTTTCTCCATATACTCATATACCACAAGCCTATGCTTTCCTTCAGCACAATAACCCCATGTCTGTATCAAATTCATGTGATTCAGTCTCCCAATCGTGCTTATTTCAGCTTGAAACTCAGCTTCTCCTTGGCGATTAGTGTTCGTGAGCCTTTTAATTGCTGCGATCCTGTTGTCTGCTAACCTCCCTTTATACACGATTGAAGCTCCACCTCTCCCAATCTCCTCACTGAAATTGCGTGATGCCTTCTTCAATTCGTTGTATGTGAATTTCCGAAACTCTGTAGCAGCTGGAAAATAAGTTTTCTCTGTTGCGGATAAGTGTTTACTGCTACAATACAAGAACATCACTACACAAACGATCTCAATGAACCCTAACATGCATCCGAACACTAGCACGAATTCAAGCAACTTCGAATTCATATCATGTTTTGTCTTGTAAGTCCTCATGATGGGGGAGAGCACAGCGTCTGGACAAATGAAGCTTGATTGGATGATGGTTTTCTGAGTAAAAGATGATACTAATCTCTTCGGTAGTTTGATATACATCAAAGCATCGACTCCCATTTGGTACCCATTATGCAAAGAAGTTTTTATGAAGCAATAGGGGATGTCATTCCTCCATCCAAGCTGAAACCCCCTGCAAGTGTCATCCTTTAAGCAATCCTTCTTGCAAGCATCAAGAGTACAGTTGATGATCAATCGAATATCATAGCCATAGAATTCTACATGACGAAGCTCAATGAAATCACACCCATCTTGCGTGCATAGCTGGAATTCAGGTTCGCACCCATAACTCCAATCTTGAGAATCCAGCTTCTTGTATCCGCGTAAACAAGCGCATGTTCTTCCGAAATCTGGAGAATAAGAACAGAGACTGTTTGGACCACAGGCACCATGAATCTGGCAAGGGTGAGAAAGAGCTTGCCATTGAACTTCCCATCTCAATCTTCTTTCATCGAAGCTGTAAACTCTTAAGTTACCATCTATGTCGATCTTCATAATTCTTTGCGTTCTCATTCCAAAATCAGAAGATCTGAAACTAAAACCATCAGATGAGTTGAATTCACCATCGGAGTCAAGGCTTGCTCTTCGAATATCCATATACTGGAATCTCCCAACTTCCCAAGTTCTTAAACTCGGATGAGGCCAGAAAACAGTAGTTGTTTCTACGCCATCATAAAGAAGTCGAAGAATGCTATCGTTATCAAAAAAGAGCTTATAGAAGCCTGAAGAGTAATTAGTGAAACTTCTTGAAGAAACAAGTTGGGTTTTCTTAGTGAAGAGTTGATTTGGAAGAAGGGTATCTGTGGGATGATCAAAGCTTTGCCAAAGAGGGTTTTCTTCTCCTCCATGGAGCACAAGGTTACCTGTGTTATGGAGTTGCAGTTGCACTAAAGAAGATGTTGACTTCGTCTGTGTTGACCAAATGACGTTTCTATTATCACCAGCATCTGTCAAAACAAGATTCCCATCTTCCGATATGAACAGCGTCGAGTGTTTTCCGTTTACGGGTGCATCTCGGTTAGCCATCCAGACCACTGTACGACTCCGGGATGCGGGTTGCTCCGAGAACCAGACAGCAAAGCCATAAGCATTCTCTCCGACTTGATGGAAACCGGCGGTGAAAATTCCGTCGGGTGAAACTAAAATGTCATCGTCGTTATCAACAGATAGAGATGATCCTCGAGTTAAAAAAGAAGTGCAAGAAGATGATGATGATGATGATATTGGTATCTGGGAAAGCGTTGATATTGTAAGAACAAGAACAAGAACATGAAAATGAAAAGGTACAGCCATGATTTCAGCTGTTAGAATAAGTAGAAGCAAATGTTCTAACTTGATAAATTTTCAAAAAGATATTGGGTTTTTATACTATAAATAAAATAAAATATTTTGTTGACGCAAATAATGACTTTAGACATGATTTCAATTTTCAACTATTAGAATAACACTTTTACATATTTGTTTACAGGGATAATGACTTAATAGGGTAATATATTTTTTGATTTGTACACATTTGTTCACTGAGTTTTTTTTTCGTTCACATTACCCCTTCAACTTGTTAAACTGTATACATTCAGTCCTTATGACCGGACTCGGCTTAATGACTTAGGTTACCCGGTAAAAATGATTAATAGGTTAATATATTTATCATTTTTTACACATTTAGTCCTTAATATTTTTGTACACATTTAGTTTTTTTTTTTTTTTTTTGGAAAATAAGTCATTTTTTTGTACTCATTCAGTACTTATGAATGATTTTTTAGTTTTTTTCTCACGAAATCTTACGTGAGACATTCAGTATGAGGTGTATGGAGCTTTTGATGCTTATATCCATCGTGATCTCGACTACTTGGTTGCTTAGGTCATGTGTTCTGAACGTCATATCTTCTTCATATGATCTCGGATTTTAATGATATTTATATTCATGCGTTCGCATTTTAGTCTACTACATCTTTCATTTAGATTACTCTCATTAAAAAATAATATATTTTTACTTACGATTTTTATATCCATACGCGGTGGCGGATTTAGTATGGTCCCGGTGTTGCACCGACAACACCTGTTTTTTCTATTTGCAGTGTAAAATTTTTCGCTTTATTTTTTACGTTTATACCTATTTTCCATGTATCGGCAACACCTACTATGTATTACTGCGTCTTCCTCTGTCCATACGTTTTTTATGAATGCATGTATGTATGTTTTTTTATAAAATCGTTAGTAAAAATATATTACATTTTAACGGGAGTAAAAAAGTGTAGTAGACTCAAAAAATGAAAATGTGGATAAAGATCCTTAAAATCTGATATCGTATGAAGAAGTTACGATGTTCATAATACAAGACCTAAGCCAAACCACAAGACTTATGCAACCAAGCAGTCGAGATCGCATTATACATAAACATCAACAACCCCAAGCACCTCATCAATGATTGTCTCACGTAAGATGTCGTGAAAAAATTTTAAAGAAATCATTCATAAGTACTGAATGAGTACAAAAAAAGGACTTATTTTGAAACAAAAAAAAATGTTAAGGACTAAATATGTACAAAAATATTAAGGACTAAATGTGTACAAAATGAAAAATATATTACCCTATCAAGTCATTTTTCCCGGCTAACCTGGAGTAACAGGTTATAAGGACTGAATGTGTACAGTTTAACAAGTTTAAGGGGTAAATGTGGACGAAAAAAAAACTCAGTGACCAAATGTGTACAAATCGAATAATATGTTACCCTTTTAAGTCATCATCCCTTGTTTATAACGTGGTCAACTAATTTCTATATAAGAAAATAAGTGGCTCTAAATTATTGGTATTAATTGTTTTTTTTTCTGATTATATTTCGAACGGGGACTACATTTGTCGTTGCTATAGGTTCAAATGTTGTCGCCACAGGTGGCTGCAACAAAACGTCATGGGAAAATGACTTACAAGGGTAACCATCTTTGTCGCTTTGTTTACATTTAGGCAACTTCTTTATTTTTGTACACATTTGAGCACTTAACTTGTTATATGTGTTCACATATTGTCATTGTCACCGGCTATAGCAGGTGACAATGGCAATATGTGAACAAATTAACAAGTTAAACGGTTAAATGTGTACAAAAAAAATTGCCTAAATGTGAACAAAATGAAAAGTTAATTACCCAGATAAGTCATTTTCCCCACCTTTAATAGCGATTTAATTTTTCATATTTGTTTGTATTATTTTTTTCAAACGTTATTTTTAAAATATCCATAATTTCCTAAATACTAATTAAATATTTATCAATTTTAAACTTTACTTTTTAATTAATAAATATGTTTTTGTTTTGTGAAATGTTTTATATAGCCTCTTATATTTTTTTTTCTTTTGTTTTGAAGTATATACAATATTTTTAAAGTAAATAGCATCTAACAATAAAATTAAATAAATTAAATATGTAACAATAAGTATGGAGGGTCTTTTAAAAAATTAAAAAGAAAATATTACTTACCAAATAAAAAAACAAAAAAATCAATATAATGTTAATATTTTAAAATTATTCTAATTTTTTAATAATTTTTACTTAGAAGTTTATAAACTTTTAATTTTTTTAATTCAACGTTTTAAACTAATATTTAGCGAAAGTATTTTAAAATGTTATAAAAAAAATATTAAATTGTCATACAAAATCTGTGAAACACTTTAAAAATATTGTAAAGAAAGTTTAGAAATAAATATATGAAAGTTATAGAAAAATTGTATGAAAATGTAAAAAAACCAAGTAAAAAACTTGTAAGAGAATTTTAAAACATTTATAAAATATTTGGTTTAAAATCACTTGTAGTAAAATTATATGAAAGTATAAAAAAAGTTGAAGAAAAAATTATAAGCAAAGTTTAAAACATTGTATTAGAAAAACCTATAAGAAAAAAATATCATAAAAATGTTGTAAGAAATTATAAAATTTTTTAAGAAATTTGTAAAAAAAATGTGAAAAAATATCATAAAAATGTTGTTAGAAATTATAAAAAAATTTAAGAAATTTGTAAAAAGCGATTGTTCACATTTATACAACTTTTTTTTGTATATATTTGACCATTTAACTTGTTAAATATGTTCATATATAACCATTGTCACCTGCTATAACATAGGGCTGTGCATGGGTCGGTTTGGGTCGGTTTTGGACCCCAACCCAACCCAACCCGTTAATGGTCGGTTTCTGGTTTTTAGAACCTAATAGGATCGGTTTCTGGTTGGTTCGGTTTCTCGGGTTCTGATATCGGTTTGGGCGGTTTCTCGGTTTCTTGGGTTCAACCCATACACTTATGGGTTCTGGGTTTAAACCCATGGGTTTTGGGTTTAAACCCATTTTTCAGAAATGGAGCAATAAGTTAAATAATTCAAAAAACACCAAATTGAAGTTAAATACTTCAAAAAACATGAGTTTTACATCCAAATTGTCTATTACAAGTTACAAACAAAGTTTGAAATAGTCTATTACAACCAAAACACAATCAATGTAAAACACAAAGTCCGGAATTGTCGATTAGACGATTACAACCAAACACACAATCAATGTAAAACACAAAGTCCGGAATTGTCGATTAGACGATTACAACCAAACACATAATCAAACTAAAACACAAAGTCCGGAATAGTCAAATAGTCGATTACAACCAAAACATGCAAACATGAATCTTCGGTCCACATCCATGTAACTCTCTTCACCAATTCCCAATTCATCTACAAACCAAAAAACATTAGTATTGATCAATGATTATTGAGTAATAAACTTGTGTAAAAGTATAAAATTATAATTATTGAGTTATAAACCTTTAAAATGTTTCAGCATCAGAATGACAAAATTCATAATCAAACAACCAATATTTCAACATTATAATTCATAAGAAAATTCCAAAACCAAACCATCAACTTTGTGTTAAGAGTCGGAATAAGAAATTGAACATTAGTGTGTAAGATGGTTTCGTGAATCAGAAGAATTAAGAGTCTCTAAGTGTCGCTGTAAAAGAGTCGGCAGTTTCCTGCCATTCCAAAATCGGTGTACTAATTTCATAAATTGAACCCAGAATTGCATTTTGAAACTATTGGATTACTGAATCAAACTCGTTCCAGGTACCGATTTGGAACTATCTCGACTCTGTACCGATTTACTATGGGATGAACAAATATTTCAGCAAACAAAAATTTCAACAAGTTTGACTGTTTGGGGATGAACATGTAATCCAATAGCAGCAAAGCAACACACAAATTGGAAATTGCAACCAAGAAGTGAGAAATTGAAAAGAAAGAAGGGAGAAATTTGAAGACGAACCTTATAACTTGATAAGTGAGAATCGAGAAGGAAGCGTCAGAGGCGTAGCAGGCTAGCAGCTTTGGAATGGTGGCGCCGGCGGTTTGGGAACGGGGTTGAGCTCGTCGGAGCTCTTGCTACTGGAGCGTTGCGTCGCCGGCTTCGATCGGGGGGAGGGGAGATGAGCAATATTAAGAACGGCGCTAAGTGAGAAAGTGAGACCTGATTTCGATTTACAGATTACGCCATTTAGGGTTGTAATATTAAATATTTTGTTTTTTTTAATATATACATGGTCGGTTTCTTGTTTTTAGATATGGGTCGGTTTTACGGGTTTAGTAGGTCGGTTTCTATGTAAAAACCAAAACCGAACCTGATTTTTCGGTTTTTAAAAAATTTAAACTCTAACCGTCGGTTTTGCTTCGGTTTCTGTTTTTTCGATTTCGGTTTTGTCGGTTTTAGTCGGTTTCTTGGTTTGGGTTTGCTCACCCCTACTATAGCAGGTGACAATGGTAATATATAAACATATTTAACAAGTTAAATGGTCAAATATGTACAAAAAAAAAAAATGAAGTTAACTAAACGTGAATAAGACGAAAATGTAATTACCCTCGCAGGTCATTATCCCAAAAGTCATCCCTAAAGTCTTCGTCTCCATAGCCTAGTCACAATGAATACTTTTGTCGTTATATAGCCTAGTCACAATGAATACTTTTGTCGTTATATGTAATCTTTTAGGTTGAACGGTGACATAATGGTTTTACTATCGACATTCCTAGGTGGCATATATTACCAGCCCCTTGGTCCATTTTTTCCGGTGGCAATATGTTATGGTCAGAATATTTTTGCCGATGAAAACAATGCGTGTGCATTATGAAGCCGCATCAAAGTGTTGTAAATGTATACCTTACAAAAAAAATATAAGAGTTGTATATGGTTATGGTTTGGAAAGAATTTTATAGGGAAAAATATTACCACATCCTATCATATGCAAAGGTTGGTAAGAAAAACAAATACTTA